AACCACTGGCTTTCACATCATTTGCTTATTTCAGTCTAACTTGTCAGCAAGTTGAACCCAGAACTCACCTCCTCCTACCTACATTTCCAGTGCAACACTGTACTCAAAGCAGGTAGGCACTTACTGAATGCTACTCACCAGATGCCCAAGTTATCTGACATTCACATAGGCTTCACTCAAATGATTTTTGAGGGAATCAACTTAAAACTCTAGGAGCAGAATGCTTGAGCATGTGGGGGTAGATGAAAATTTTAAAGGTAATATTAGCTTCAAACAAACCACTTCAATCTATTATAAAATAAGGAACCTGAATAAGATGAGTTAAGTTCTTGCTGGAAGGCCACTGCTGGGGAAGGATGTGTTTCTTCTGTAGCAAACGGCCTCATTTCTATCCATAGGTGACTTCATGGTCCTAACCCTGAATCAGTCAAGAAAACAAGAGCAGACAATCTTTCCCTATCCTAGTGGTCTTAACCCAGGCTGAGAATGGCTTTAACATCACACAAATGTGTCCTAAGGTTAAAAATTCAATTTTAAAAATCACACTTACTATGATCTCCAGGCAGTAGCAAGGAGATGATACCCTACTACCACCACCATCACTCGGCAGACACTCAATTCATGTTGTATTGTCATGTGCCATCCCTCTGAAGCGCCTTACCTGTCTGCAGAAAGCCTGCTTGCTTCAATTCTCCAATCACAGGTGTTAGGTCAGGGGCAATCTCTTCATATTCCAATTTATTCACCTTAATCCAGCTGAATTTACGTTGAAAAAGCCTCACATATAACTTCTGACCACTAGCTGCAATAAAGTTACAAAAAATAGAAGAATACTATCTTTCTTCTCAAAACCAACATATGAATATCATTTACTTTTTAAAACTGAGTTGCATAAAAGGTACTCTATTAGAAATACACATATGCGTACTCATCTGATCTAAGGAAATCTTTTTCTTCATGTGGAAGATACCATTTACTTCAAATAGCAAGTCCCCTTGGGGATGCCTCCCTGGCCCGTGCTCCTGTGACCAAAGGCCAGGAAGAGTAACCCAGACAAAAAGCCCTGGGCCAGCGTAGCTAATTCTGAGCTGTGCAAGTCTTTGAACTTTTCAGAGAATCCATTTTCTCTTCTGTTAAAAAAAAATGGGGATGTGGGGAGGAAAAGGGTCCTAACACCACCTTCCCAAAGTTGGTGAAAACATTAAACAAGATGAGGTATCTGATGATTTGTGTATGAGCCATAAAAAAGTTCCAAAGTTAGTAACGATCACTGGCCATGTTAAAACTTCTAAGAACCAGGTTCCCCACTTCTTAGCCACCAACGAACATTTCTACACCCTCAGAGAAGCCCTACCAAGAATTTTAGTTATTTTGTTCTCTTTCAGTTTAATATGTATTATTCTATTTTTGGCTGAAAATAATTGGAAAAGATTTTCAAAATATGTTTAGTTTTGGTAGGACAGCCATGTCTAACTCAGTGAACTCATCCAAGCTATTTAATTAACCTGGTTTCATTATTCTTATTAACCAGACTGTCTTTAATTTTCCATAAACTCTGAAACATACCATTGTGTTTTTTAAATCTTCGAAGTATATTTTCCTTTAAGGAGGCAAAATCAATTAGCAATAGTTATTTTCACAAACAGACATTGTAAATGATTCTCCAGAGAGCAACACACAAGAATCTATAGAACTTGCACTTGGGAAACTTCATATTGCTCGACTGTACAGAAGCACAGAGCCACCAACTACTTAAAACAAATGCTTGCCTGAACGCAACCAGCACCCAACCAGAGATCTCGGACTCCTCTGGAGCGAAGAGTCAGTGGCGTCATTTACCGGTGCGGCAGCAGAAGTAGAGATGGAAGCTGTGTGGAAACTTTATGGAACTGTGCCCAGAGAAGTATCACTGACATGTCAAAAAGTAATGCAAGGAATACTGTAATTCCATTGTGTGAACTTGAAACCCTTCTCTTCAACATGAAGTAGTAAACGTTCAGGATTTTTTGTTTTTGTTTTTTACTCTGAGCAGTCAGACCTGGCTCCGTATTACTAGAGGTCAGTACGGTCCCCCGGTAAGCTTTTCCGACCCCACAAAGGACTCGGTTCCATAGAGCCGTCACAGCCCTTTGGATTAGCACTGGGCCAAGGGTGGCTCTGGCTGCAAACCTGCACGATCGGCTTAGAGCCGCCACTTGCTGCCGAGGAATTGAGACACAGACGAATCATTTTAAAAGTACCAATTTAGCCTGAAAGCCTCCATTTCCTCCACACCCTGACTTTCAAAGGCAGAGTCCAGGAACCTAAAATACTGTTGGAGGAAAAAATAGACCTCAATCTACCTTGGTTTTGTTCCTTCCTGTATTCTACTTTCATTTTTGAGTAAATGGTGTGCAAAAACCACCAAACTACCCAGCAGTAACCCTGATTACATGCTGGAAATGCAAAGCACACTTTCCTAAGTCATGCTGGTACATTTTTTTGTCATCTGGAAAAGGTTTTACAACCACCAAACATACATGGAAAGGAAAACAGCTGCTTCCATTATAACCAAAGCACAGCTTGTAAAGATACTGCTGCAGGAGCAGACATCACCAGGCACAAAATCTCTTTTACAGGCCTGTCCTTTCTCTAAGGGAAAACTGTAGATGCCTGACTCTCATCAGAACTCCCAGGGGATTCACAAAACCACACTGACTCCTTGTGGTCGTGAGATCACCGCCCATCCCATCAGGGCCCAAATCATGACAGGATATGGGAAACAAAAACTTGAAAGTAAACAGGCCTAAGATACCTGATAACTGATAAAACGTAGTTACAATTCCCTTCTCGTGTTCATCAAAGAGCATTCTATCATCTTCATTCTCAAACACGGCTCTCAGCACCACGAGGAAACTCCGAAGGTAATAGGGATGACTCGGTGGTGGTAGGATTTCACTAGGAACATCACAGCTTAACCTCTGCTCCAAAGGAATCCTGCAAGTGATTTCATCCTTTAAGTCACTGTCACCTTCCAGAGCAAGTTCTTGGACGTTACTCCATTTCGAAGCATTATGTAGAGAGCTAGGAGATTTTGCCTCCCAACTGGCCAACTGTGTTTTATCTTCAGAATCAATAGTCATCTTCACTTCTTCACAACTACCGGCCTTACAATTTTCAACAGCCTTACCATCTCTTCTGATACTCCCCTGCTTTGTAAGACTGTCCTCTGAATAAGACTTTAATTTATTCCCCAAAGTTAAATCAGGTAGAAATAATCCCACAGCATTATCTGGGAAGGCAGGGGTGAGGGCTGATCTCCCACATTCCTGGGCAGACTTCTGGCTTTCAGCTTCCAATATTTGATTGCCTTCTACAGGATGCTCAGGAGTAGTCCATTCCTTAGGAGAATGGCAGGCAAATGCATTCTCCTTTTGAGAACTGTTCTGCAAAATCTCATCCTTGTCCTCAGTGTCTGAACAGTTATCAACCAGGTTCCTAACCACTGTGGATGAGGAACTCTTTGGACCCTGATTGGCAAATTCCTCATTCTTATCTATTGATCTTTTTGTCTTTATGTACCTTCTGGACAATTTAGATGACAGGCTTCCCAAAGGAATGACTTTCACAGTGTGATGCTTCAGCTCATCTTCATTTTTGCACACCAAGTCACCATGCCTTTTAAAGTAGGGACTTGTCTGCTGTCTTAAGCCGGTTTTTGCTGAATCACTTTGACCCAGGGTTAAATTTGTCTTTGACGGTGACAGCCTCTCTGGTGTTGCATCTTGTAAGGTTAAATCTACTGTGGACACGTTTGAATTCCTTAAGCCACCGTGCTCGGTGCTGTCATTGTTAGCACACATTTCATCAAGGTGCCGGTTTAAGTCGTATCTTGGCACCATTTTACTACAAATGGGGCAGGCAAGTTTAGCAGGTGGTACATTGTTAAAAAACGAAATAATAGAGTTAGATTCATTTTTTTTACTTTTGCTAATTGATAAACTTCTACGAGGTCTTTTTCTTGCAGGCGATTTCCCTTCTGACATGAGTATTAGAAAAACTGGGCGTTTGGAGCAATAAACCACAGGATATCACTGGGAAACTAGCAATGGTTTACTTTTACTTCCTTGACTTGAAATAATAAAAGGTGGGATTCTATTTGACTTCATGCTATTCGTTTAGTCAATTTCTTCTTCCTACAAAATAAAATACATATAGATTACAAACATTTTTATGAATTCAGTACAGGGGGAAAAGTAAGCTCTGAAACATGAACGGCATTATCTCTTGCGATAAGGAAAATCCCTGGATTTGGAACAGACGACCAAGGCTCTACTCTTAGTGCTGTACACGCAATTCCACTGTGTCCCTGGACCATGAAATGCCAGCGTTAGGATAATTTTTAAGGCGTCTTTTTAAGACCTAAAACTCCGCTTTTAAAAAGGGAAAATTTGTCTACTATACTGGGCCCTTTTCTAATAATGACTGCATCGGTTACTTTTCCCGGGAGATAATGCCAATCTGCGCGCCCCCTACGGTCACTCCTGCCCCACAGGCCGGCGGAGAGGAGCCCCAAGCACGCGGGCATCTGTGAACACGCTCGGGGCCCCACCGCGGGCCACCGCAGCGGAGGCACCTGGGGCTCAGCCCGGCCGCCCGCCCTCGCGCCTCCTCTCGCGGCCTCCCTCCCTCCCTCCGGCCGGCCGCCGCCCGCACCGCTCCGCGCGAGCCCCGGCGCGCCAGCCCGCAGTGCCCCAGTCCGCCCCGACTTCCCCGCGTCTCCCACCGGCTCCGCGCGCCCAGGCATTCCCAGCCGATCCCGTCTCGGCGGGCCACAGGCTCGGCAAGTGGAGGCTCGAGCGATCGATCTCAGGCTGCCTTCCAAGCAGGGTGGTTGCGGCCGGCCGAGCCCTCCGGGAGGCGCGGGACTCTCCTTCCCTTCGCACCCAGAGAAGGCGGGCCGCTTGTGCGCCCCGGCATGTGCATCCTGAGGGAACCCTTCTCCCAGCCGGTGGGAAGGTTGCCTATTGGGGTGCGTTAAGGTTCAAAGTGCAAGCCTCCAGGAAGACGCAGGCCTGGACTCCAATTAACCAGCGCCTGCGAGACAGCAGAGATAATTCAGTCACCTGCTGGGCTATCCGAAGACGCAATGTATGTAAATAACCTCAAGAGTAACGAAAGAATAACATGCAGTCAAGTAATTAGGGTGTGATGGGTTAGGGGTATTTATTGTTTTTAATATAGTTTGTGAGGTTATATAATTTAATGTACAATAAGGGCTGTGTTTAACAACTGAGAAAATACTGAAAGTTTATCAGCTCTTGAACACACTGAATACCAAAGGCCCGTGTCACAGAAGTCAAATCACAAAACATAATGACAAGGTTTTGAGGAAAGGAAAAGGAATAGCTTATTAATTTGCCAGCCAATGCGGGAGCGGCAGGCTCCTGCCCTAAGGAACGCTGTCCTGAAAAGCACAGTTGGGGCTTTTAAGGGGACATGATGGGAGCGAGGCTGTGGTGTCCATGACCGCAGAAACATAAAGCAGCAACTTGCGAAGATCAGAGCAGACATTCCTATGCCAATTCAATTGTTTTTTGTTTTTACCAGTTCCTCCTCAGTACCCTGGGATAGGATGTCTTGGGTTCTGCAAAATCAGCAGAAAATAGGGAGAACAAAAACTGCCACCTCTTAGTGGTTAAAAGATTTGGGGGACTACTTGAGTTCCTTTCTCAGTTAATGTTAGTGTTGAATTTTAAACCCAAGGATTTAATCCCACTGTCTTCTGTTACAATACTAGCTGGTTCCAGTATCCCCAGCAACAACCCAGAATGTAAGCTTTCTGAGCTAAGGGACTCCGTGCTTATGTCCTTCCCCTCCACTTAACAGCTGGTGCCAGCACTGTGTAATTACTCCATAAATGTGTGTCAAATGAATGCATAAAATAATGAACCATATTGAAAAGGGACAGTAGGGACTCCATCAACAAATATCTATTGAGTACCTATCTTATGCCAGGTAATGTTCTTGATGCTGAAGATAAGGCAGTGAATAGAATGAGGATTGGGGGAAATCCCTGCCTTTAAGGAGAACACATTCTAGTGGAAGAAGATAGAGAATAAAGCATGTAGAGAATTAGAAAATAAGTGTTGTAGATGAATTATACATGACAATAACAAAGGTGAGTGTAAATGTAACTTGCTGCAAGTTTTTTTTATATGAAGTGGTAATATAGTAATTCTAGACTATTTTAAGGATGCCTATTTTAATTCCTAAACAAAAATTCATGCAGTTAGAGCTAATACATTAATAGATATTTAAGTGGACTATTAACATATTTGATTAATTTTGACTAAAAAAATGGAAAAGAGGAACTTAGGAATAAAATTAGAGACAAAAATAGCAAAATAGTTAAACCAAATACAACCAAAACAATAATTACAGCAAATGCGCATGGATTAAATGCTCCAATTAATACATACTTAACTATTTAGAGGTCAAAAGCCACAAGGCCTTCAACTTCCTCTCAAATTGTTCAGGAAAAAAAAGACCGATAATGTAAACTGGAGCTAAAGTTATTGGAATTTTTCTGTAACTTTATGAAAATAAAAAGTAGTTAAAAATGAGAACATCTAACAAAATGCTCAATCTCTTTAGGAAACATAATTTAAAACCACACATTGTGTTAATTATACTCAGTAGAAAGACGAAAAAAGCTTTTCAAATCCCGCCAATACCAAATGCTGACAAATATAATTAAGTGCAAATGTATACAACTACCATTGACCCTTGAAAAACATGGGTTTGAACTGCACATGTCCACTTAAGCATGGATGCTTTTCAATAAATGTATTGGAAAATTTCTTGGGAGATTTGTGACGATTTGAAAAAAACATTCTTTTCTCTAGCTCACTTTAAGAATACAGGATACAAAGTATGTGTTAATCAACTGTTTAGACGGTCAGTAAGACTTCTGGTCACTAGCAGGCTATTAGCTTTTGGGGAATCATTATAGGCAGATATTTGATTGCACAGAGGGTCAGTGCCCCAAAACTCTACTTTGTTCAAGATTAGCTGTACTTTGAAAAACTTGACATTATCTTTTGAACTTTCTACCCAGCAATTCTACTCTAAGGTACATTAGAGGTTAGAGCATAGACCAGAACTGTGGGAACAGGATATTCACAACAGCATTATTCATAACTGTAAACAAATGTCTTTAAGAGAATGTATAATAAAATTACGGTGTATGGATGAACTTGAGGGAAATCAACAAGTGAAAAAGCAAGCCCTAGGTGAGGACATATAGTGTCCTATTTTCATAAAATTCAAGTACTAAAAAAATTAAATGATACATTGACTAGGAGTACATGTTTATGTGGCAAAACATATCCAAATGTGAAGGAATGCTAAACACACAATTCAGAATCATGGTTCCCTCCTTACCTATTATGTAGATACTGAAACTACTGATAGAGAAAAGCACATACTATATTTTGTTTTTAGATAAAGGGTAGTTTTATTTGTATTATGCTAATTTTTATAGAAAAAGGATGTAAATATTCCACCAGAATGCATACTTCATTATATCTAAGAATTACTGTTTTTTTCACTTATATCTCTGGAATCTGCAACAGTGCCTGGCACAAACAAGGATATAAAATGAGTATTATCTTTAGAATGTGTTAAATATTACACTAAAAATGTGAAATGAGCTGATAAAACTCAGATGGGGGAAAAAATAAAGATAATTTCAACTATGCAAATATCAAACTGCCCTTAGATAAATAAAATGAATCATCACTCCACAATGAAACATCCTCATCCTGACAATCATGAATAAAATAAGAGAACTAACCTAACAGCTGAGTAGGGACTGGCAAACTGCCTTAATTTTAAAAGAATATAGTAAGTCCTGAAGCCATAAAAAACTCAAACATGACATTTCACTAAGGCTAGTGAGAGCTGGGGGTTACTCCCAACTGTGTAGAAGACAAAGACACACTAGTGAAGAGAACTCTCTCCTGAGTAAAATTTGAAACCAAGTTACAAGGTGGTACTGACAGGAGATCCATCTAGCAGTCTGGCCAGGCTCCACCCTGAGGTGGCCAGCTTCCCTATTAGCAGGAATGCAGAGTACAAACCTCAGCAGGCTCTTCTCGCCCACTTCAACTGTCCCTGTAGATGACAAGAAGCTTCCCCCATTAGCTCAGCTCAAGCTTAGTTCTCACTTTCTGTCCATCTGGAATAGCAAGGTTGAAGGCATTTCCATCAAAGCATAATATGACATGTTATTAGAAAGCATTTCTCCCTGGATGTGGAAGTCTCCACAGCCTGCCTACCATCCTAGCTGTGTTCACCTTCCATCACGTCTAGATGACACCTGCCCTCCATGCATCTTACCTTGGACAAGCCCATGCAAAGCCTTTGCTCAGGTGACATGAGATCATCTCCCAAGGGAAAGATAGGAGACAGATGCACAACAACCTCACCATTTTGTGAAAGGATGAAAGGGCAGTGGGAGAAGAAAATCAAGACCCCAGAGAGTGAGGACCTCTACTATATAAACAGCCGATTGTGACAGGGGTGGCTGGCTCCTGAACACTTCTCAGCCTGCAGGCCAGTTCCCACCGACTGGACCCTGTGCCCAAGCTCCCCTTCAGAACTGGCTCTAGTGAGAGCATAGTGTGGAGAAGGCCTGGGAGCTAGGTCCCGCCCACACCCACAGACAGTAAGGCAGGGCTCTCCAAAGACAGTTTGGAATTTGTCTTTTCAAACTGCGGAATTCTAAAATACCTGCCATGTGTACAAAGACAACTTCTCAAAAATTTTATTACAAACAAAACAATGACAGAACATAAGCTTACACATTAATATTTACATTATATTTAAATACATTACAGCTTTAATTTATGAACAGAAATATCTTGTCTTTTCTTCTTTTTCTTTTCTGTTTTCTTTGCGTCATTGATTTGCATCTTTACTTGATCTTGTAATTTAGAAAAGAATGCTTGAGATGACTTTAAGGCTTTGTCTTTACCTTCATCCTGCGATTAAAAATAACAAATGCTCACACTACAAAATATGCTTTTAAGTAAAAAAGCCAAATGATTACAGTAATGTATAGAAGTACTTATATACAAAAGGATGACAAGAAGTTATGAAAAATGAGACCAGTTAGCACAGAGGTATTATATACATTCTGTACGGCTGCAACATTCTTGTCACCTAAAGAAGGGAGTGGAAGAAAAACAGCGGCCCGGACCCAGGTTACGGGGAGGGCTCTACAGTAAACCTGAGCGTTTAAGGCTGATGTTCCGGCCAACACCCAGGGGCTTCTCCACCCAGGCACCGGGGCTGGGGGTCATCAGTGGCCCACTCCGCCAGTGACCGAAGTCACAGCTTTACATCCACTACTCCCTGCAGAGGCACCCTTTGATGATTCTCTCCCCCACATCCTTACCTTTAATAACAACGCTCTGCCTGTTTTGGTCAGCTTTTTCAACTTCTCTGAAGCTACGGCTTTTGTGTATTTCCCTGCCTGATCTGGCTTGCTCTTTTCAAGCAGCTTTCTCCGTTTTTCCTTCTCCTTTATTTTCATATGCTTCCGAAATTTCTTTTTCCTCCGTTCTCGTTTCTTGTCTGTAACTGTTTTTTCAGCAGCTGTTTTTATGTCTCCAGCTTTATTTTTTTCCTGTTGAAAAATAGCCACCAGCAGACTAGTTAACCCAATCCAACAGCGACTCCGCAAACTGAAGAGGAGCAATCCCACGGGACGTGGCCAGAAGGATGTACATCCACGGCCGAGTGTTTGAGAACACAGAGCAATCCCCACTTGCATTCCAAAGAGCTCTGGTAGCAGCTTTTTAGGATCTAGACTGCGTTCTTTGATGGAACAGACTCTTACAGTGGCAGCTCAGTTCCCAAACTACTTCACAAAGGCAGCCTCAGAGCTACACTGTCAAGCTGCAGCCCTGGAGAGGCCAGCACCTTCCAGCACCCAGGACTTCAGCATGGGATTCAGGAACATGCCTGAGGAGCCCCCACGCTAAGCTACTGATGACAGCCACTGGGCTAGTGGCAGGGGTTCCCAGAGACGGAAGGGAAACTTCCATTCAGGGAGGATTAATTTCCTCTTTTCTCTCAGCTGCCAGCCTATCCTGCCAGGACCACCACCTATACAGGCAGCAGAGGTTCTGAAGAAGTGGGTGTAGCAAAGCAAGTGAGGAGGGACAAAGATGGCCATGTTGCTGGGCCAGCCGGGAAGATGCGGCCCTGGCAGAAACCATCGTTAGTGTGTAAGGCCCGAGCTTCCATGCTCATGAAGAAGAGACTGCCTGCATTTGTTATGTCCAGCTTCTTTGAGTCCAAATGCTTTATTCTAGACCCCAATTCCACATTAAATGGAATAAAATAAGGGAAAATACTGACATTAAAGGATTGCTAGTATATAAGCAATGTGTTTTAAGCCTAACATCACTACTAGTATTCAATTAGGATTATAACAAGATACTGTTATTGGATATTTATAAACAGCTTTTATAATAATTCTCATACTTGTACCTCATAATAATACCTGATTAGAGAAGACTGGTATTTGAATATTACGTAACATTATTAGTTTCATTATACTTAGAACTGCTGATACATTAGAATGCAAACTACAAACTCAAGGAAAATGACATAAAATAAATGGAGATCTGGCTAGAAACAACTAATGTGTAAATAGCTATTCAACATGTCAACATTGGATTCTTACCTTGACTTCCTCTGGGGCCAGGAGAGCTGCGTCACTGACACTCACTGGGGCTACTTCCTCCAGGGTTATGGCTGGCAGATTTGACACAACCTTTATCTCTGGAACAGGCTAAAAAGGAAACAGCAAATTTAATAGGAAGTCAGAATAAGTCCTAACATAAAATATCTGTATTGTGAACCTATTAAAGCTTAATACATAAAACACTTTATGGAGATTATTTAAACTGTATGATGTGTTCACAGCAAAAGTCTTAAGCTAACTGAATGATGGTGGGGTTGGTGAGGAATCTTTTGCTGACTTAAGAGTCTTCTCTGTCTCAACACTATAACAGCAGCACTTATTTCTAGAGTTTTACATGACATTTCTGCCATATTCAAATACCAGTTCTCTCATCTATTACTAAATTACTTCCATCTGTCATGTATGTGGACATTCTCAACAATCCTACCTAATGTTTAATAGAATCTGTTGATTTCTGTGAATATTATCTTGCCTTAAGTTATTGAAAAAACGCTAGCTATGAAAAATATATGGAAGACTAAAACAGCATCAAAATAAATCAAACCTATTAATTATAAAAGAAAAGAAGGCAATGCTAAGTTAAAAGCCATTTGTTTTTTTTGAAAGAAATTCAAAATTAAAACAGGTTTCATACCAATCATCGTAATTAAATGACACTGGTGATTATTTAACACTTACACTTATGTTCTTTATATCTAATTCTCACACATCTCTGTTGGGGGTGCCAGGGGGCAGGGACTCTGTCAGCCACAGTGGAGTAAAAGATGAAGTGTGAGAAAGAGCAGGTGTCCTGGAGAGAACTTGGACTGAGACCATGAGAAAGGGGTCCTACTGCAAAGCACATCACCACCTTCTTCACACATTCATTTTCCGTATCACAGTCCTCTCCAGATTCCAGTTAACTAGGCAGGTATGTGCCCTAGGAAACTTAAAGAACGAAAGCAAGCCAAACACAACAGGATCCTGGATTCTAAATAAGCGAAAAATGTCAGACTGTGAAAAAGGTAATTTATTTCTCTGGACCACTGTTCAATTATTTATTAGGAGCATTGTGTTCCAATCTACAATTTGAAGAGAAACGGGGAGGAGATGGTGCCCCAAATAACAAAAACTGATGCTTGGTTAACAGGATCTAGAGATAGCTCATGAAAAACCATCCTATGAAAAAGTTAATACCAAGGGGAACCTACACAAGAAATTCTATACTTCTGAAAAGGAAAAAAGTAAGAAAGGCTTTTAAACTGGAGCTGAGACACAAATTCATTCACTCCTTAGCCAATTCCCATGATTCTAGGCAATGCCTGTGCACTTTGCACATCAGGCTCCGTCCGTAGCTGCTAGTGTGATGAACGCAGCAGCAAAAGAACACAAGACACATTTGTGCTGGCTTGAAAATGAGTAGAGATTAATTATCAACTAATGACTGCAATTGTGCTATGGCACTATGAAGGAAAGGAGCAGAGCAGAGGCGAGTGCGGGACCAGGAAGGCAGGGGCATTTAGCCTGCAACCCAGAGACAGAGGACACCAGCCATGGAGAGGAGGACACACAGCCTAATAGGCCTGGGGGGAGAGCCCGCAGGAAGGTGCAAGGAAGGAGGCCCTTCACCTGCTGAAGGCACTGGAACAAGACCGGTGCAGCTGGGGGATAGTTAGTTATGGAGACCATGGGACAGGAAGGAGCCAGATCACACTGAGCCTTGTAAAGCACACAAAGGGATCATGCTCTTCACAACAGTGAGACTTTTTCACAGGAAGAACTGCAGGCCAAGAGGGGTTGAGAAATTCCTCTCTTCTCCTCATCTATTTTATAGAGCCCAAGCTAGTACTTTGGGAAACTAAAGATGATTCCTGTCACCAAAAACTTACTGTCATATAAATTGCACCCTGACTAAACAAAAACAAAAGAGCAGGCGATAAAAGCTGACTGTGTGTTTGAGATGTCAAAATACACAGAAGAAATCACATAACCATCAAAGAACCAGAAAGAATCTTGGAGATTACCTTACCCATACAGATGAAATGCCAAGTGATTTGCCTAAATCACAAAGGTAGATAGGGGGAGAATCAGACTCCGGTTTCCGACTTCTAGACGAGTCCCTAATTCATGACATCCTTTCCAGACAACGAGAGACACGAAGGAGCAATAGGTGAGTAAGCACCAAAGTATGCTGCGGCTTGTTTTATGGGTTTACAGAAGGTGGTAAGTAGGAGAAGCAGATCCGAAGAATGACAGGCACAGATCCAAGTCTGGGAGGGAGTGAAACAGGTAGAGAGGGAGAGCACAGGAGCCTAAGCGGGGCCCAGGCAGCCACAGGCAGTGAAGAGAAGACAGGCTCAGTTAGACCGGACCCTCCCACCTCCTAAGCCTTGGTTTCCTCATCTGCCGAGTGGAAAGTATAGTATCTGCCTTAGTGTTTTGTGGATTAAGAGTTAATGAACAGGGGCACAAGATGGAGGCATAGGCTGGTCCCAACTTTAGTCTTCATGAAACGAACTAGCAACTATCCTCAGACAAGACACCACTGTGAAAATTCCAGAACCTGAGGGTGTGGGGAGGGAAGCTGAAGCACTCCATGGACCAGAGACTGAGAAGGGCTGCACTAGGAGGGTAAAAGGAGAGGCTACGACTCTGACATACTTTCTTTCCCCAAGGCAAGCCAGCAACCCATTGGCCTACAGTTTCTCCCATGGGAAAAGAGGGTTCAGGAAGGTGGACTTCCAGTTGCCCAGTGCTGCAGGATGCTTCTGAGCGGGCCCATTCATATCTGCCTCCTGGGGCTCACTGAGGGCATCTGCAGGGCCTGACCACTGGGGAGCAGGCTGGGATGGATGAGGTGCAGGGCTTCCAGCAACCAGGGCCCTGAGCTCGCAGTGTCCCTCCTTGCAGCAGCACCAAAGTAGAGAGCCCAGCCAGGGGCTCTACCCATCTTCTGGGCCAGGTCAGTGGCCTTGTCTGTCTCAAAGAGCTCTGTACACCCCCATGTTCACTGCAGTATATTTTCTAAGAGCAAGATATAGAGACAACCTAAGTCTCCTTTGATGGATGGACAAAGAAGATGTGAAACACACACACAATAGGATATTACTTAGACAGAAGAAAGGAAATTCTGTTATTTGCAATGCAACAACATGGATGGACCCTGAGTGCATTATGCTAAGTGAAATAGACAAAGATAAATACTGTATGAGCTCACTTAGATGTGGAATCTAAAAGAACTGAAGTGACAGAAACAGAGATTGGTGGCTGCTAGAGGCAGGGGTTGGGGGATTGGGTGAAGGTGGTCAAAAGGCACAACTTCCAGTTATGTTCTGGGGATGTCAGTTACTAATGGGAACTATAGTTACTGTTTCATATATTTGAAAGTTGCTAAGAGTAGATCTTAAAAGCTCGTATCACAAGAAAAAACTATAACTATGTGAGGTGATAGATATTAACTAAGCTACGGTAATCACTTTACAATAACGCATATACATATAGGTTATCTCCTACTTGTTTAAAATTCATGTTACTCCACTTTGCTTTTATGAAAGACCCACATTGGTAACTATTTTTGCTAATGGAAAGAGATCCGAAGAGGATTTTCACTTTCACACACACAAAAAAGGCGAAAAGTGAAAACAGCACTAGTGTCACACGTTTTGCAGTGAGCCTGGGTAGAGGCAGCGTGCACCCGAAGCAGTGTGGCCCTACCATGCTCCTCCACTGGCACTGTGCTCAGCACCAGACCACCAGAGCTATGAGCTGTGTCTGTGGGCATCTGTGCTTTATCTCAATTCATTCTGAGCACCGTTAGCATGATGTGTCCTCGGGTAACAGAAAAGTCTAAGAGAAGTTATTTTTTGGGTCTCGTAATGCTCAAATACTTTTCCATATAAATCAGTGATAACTGCTTCTTAGCTTTACACCATTTCAGCTTATGAAATTTAATAAGAATGTTCTACTTTGGGATGATACTTGGGGAAACCTGTATATCAAATGATTATGTTGTACATCTTAAATTTATACAATGTTTCATGTCAGTTGTATCTCAATAAAATGAGAGAAAAAAAGTTAATGCACACAAAGGACCTACTACGGCACACAGCAGATACTCAGTAAATGTCAGGTGTAGACATCACACATCTCCAGACCAATCACAGAAGAAAACACGATCAAAGGGTGAGAAATAAAAAGACCCTGCCGCTAAGGCTAAGGTCTGGCATGGGCCAGATGAAGATCCGGCTGGACCAGCAGGGGAAGCCAGAACTGTCACAGGACCAGACATGAGCCTTCCTCGCGGGAGGCCTTGCCTGCAATTTACAGGGAGTCCCTGCAGGTTGGTATCCTAAAACAAAATGAAGAGCTGATTTCACAAAAGCTCAGAGGAATTAAGGTCACATCTACTCTTATCTACATACCAAAATATTAACATACTTACCGGTTTAGGGATGAAGTGAAAGTTTGAAAGGGCATCCAACTTTAAGAAGAGTGAATCCATCATCTTCTGAATTTCTACATGCTCTGGATTTTCTTCTTCTGCTGTTTTTTGCTTAGGAAATAATTTCAACATGAGACTAAGCAGCTTAATATACATCACAGGACAAACACTAAATGCCAGTGAGGGTGATGAGAAGTGATTACCCTCCAAGCTTTAGCTCCAATTAAAATGATCAACACCAAATAGTGCCAGTACTGACCACAGAGATGTGACGTGACTGCTGTCAGAAAAGCAATTCCCATTAGGATGGTTATTTAAAAAATGTGGGGGGGGAAACAGGTGTTGGCAGGGATGGGGGGAACTGGAACCCTCGTGCATTGTTGGTGACATGTGAAATGGTTCATTCACAAGTCTGGCAGCTTCTCAAAAACCTAAACAGAGAATTACCATAGGACTCAGCAATTCCACTCTTAGGTATATGCACAAAAAAATTAAAAGCAGGTACTCAAACAAATACGTGTACATGTATGTTCAGAGCAGTGTTCACAATAGCAAAAAGGTAGAAACAGTCCAAATGCCAATCCAGGTATGGCTAGATAAATTGTGGTATACATACACTATGGAATGTTATTAAGCTAAAGAAGAGAAACGAAGTACTGACACATACCACAATCTTGAAAACTTTAGGCTAAGTGAAAGAAGTCACACACGCAAGTCACTTACATGATTTCACTTACGTGGAATGTCCAGAGAAAGTAAATCCACAGAGACTGAATACAGATTGGTAGGAGTCAGTCCCTTTGGTGAGGGAGGAATAGGGAGCAAATCCTTAATGCATGTGGGATTTTATTTTGGGATGATTAAAATGTTTTGGAACTGGATAGAGAAAGTGTACCACACTGTGCATGTACTACATGCTCCTGAATTATTTACTATAAAGTGTTAATTTTACGTTAAGTGAATCTCACTCAATTTAAAAAAAGAAAATCAACGTGTTAATGGAGACTTCAAAAAGAATAATCCAAATACCCATCTGAATAGTAGGGGCTTTTTTTCCTTTTATTTATATATAATTTGTGAAAAGATTTATTCTGATTAAATCACATTGAAAAAAGTATTTTCATTCTCCTGAGAATGGGCAAACTTTATACTTCCCTTTTCCCTCTGCCCAAAATGCTTATTCTAAAAAGCTTAGACTGTTTTTGTTTGCTTTTTCATTAAGACACATAATATAAAACAAAACAAACCAGAATTGGGAAGCAACTGGTTCTTGGCCTCCATGGCCCTGACACCAGACATGCATTCAGATTCGTTTCCAGTGTCACCAGAGCCCACCTTCCAACCACGTCCAAGCACTGCTAATGCTTCCTTAACTCCCATTTTTTATCCTCAACATGCTGTTTTGCCTCATTCCAGGTAACAGTATCTGTGAAATCATACACACACAACTAAGAGTAAAGGTTCATTTATGTGCTGTTAACCACTGTGTTGCTCATTACCTCGAGTACAGATATCAAACTTCAAGAGATACTGACCATTATCCCCAGACTAACTCTTAATGGAATGGGTCTAGAATTAGCTTAAATTAAGTCCATACTCAAAAATTTGTGTACTGGTTGTTGACATCTGAGATATAAATAAAACTAACATTTATAGAGCTAGCACAAGCTGTCTCATTATAGATTTAATTTTTAACTTTCATGATTACTGAATACTTTGTATTTACAAAATTTCCTCAGGTACTCAGGGACGTTCAATAGCCATCAGCGAGGCTGGACCTATGTTGCTTCAACTACCACCTTGGGTTACAAAGCAGCGAGAGGAATTTTAACTGAAACCGTTCCAGTTCTTCAGCTTCACAGTGGCACCAACGGCACCATTTGCTCTTGCTGCCTTAGGGGCATCAAGTAACAAAATCTGGTAGGGCTCTTCAGTGGCTTCTGCTGAATAGAAATACCTTCTTATCCCCAAGCACACTGACCACATTCAATGTGAAGGAATAATTCAATTACTGTATTGGGAATATAATATTTTGGAAACATGACATTGTTCTCTTTAACCAGATATATTTTTTAAGAATCTAAGTAAAAAACAAAAACTTAAAAATCTGAATGAATTCACAGATTATCTTATGTTTCAGTAACTGCTGAAGTATGAATGAGAAATGGTTAAATTGCAGCACTACTATATTAAATGCTGGAAAGTCAGTTAACTATCTGTGAAACTACCAGGTAACCAATGACTAATAAGAAAAATAACTCACACAGCCCCTCACACTCAGAGGGATTACAACCACCCTCTATTCCCAGAACCCTCCGTCTCACAATACGAGGAGACTCCAGAACTCAAGATTTCTGTTTCACCAATTTCAGCCATCACTGAACTAGCAGAGCTGGTTCTTTACTTCTCTGAACAATCCTCTTTTCTTTGCCGTACTGGCTTCCTTACCTGGTTGAGTTTGATGTATTCCTGTTCATAAATTTCAGCAAGGCTCAATTTGCTCTTCTCATGGTCTAATGTTATGCGCTTTTTGTACTCATATGCATCCTCTTTAGGTTTTTCTTTACGTACAACATCGTCCCAAGCCTGAAATGTGAAAGGGACATGGAATATAAATTAACAGATTCTGTAATTTCTTTCTAGGCCCACTTAAGAATCTTCCTCTGGATTATTATCATTCCAAAGTAAGAAAGTTACAGCAAGAAAGAAGTAATTTTCAACCTCTGGAATGACTATTCAAGCCATAAAGTATTATAAAAAGCAAAGAGGGTATTACTCAAGTATTCTTTTTTGTTTCTGTCTTTCTTTACCAACTTTAATTCCATATTTCCTCATCACGGTTTATACGTCAAGACTCCAGTTTGTCTTGTTTCATTTCAAATTTGAAGATATTCTACATAGTACCCACCTTTCCAACTTTTCCTATTTTAAGTAAACATGTTATAAAGCCATCTCTTACTGTACATGTTATATACTCAAGTTCTAGTCTAAGTTTACAAATAAGATCAATTCTTAAACAAGAACTCTTTGCTGTTTTTAACATTTGGGGAAAAAAGACCCTTCACTTGACACACTAGGTAAGATACTGTGCCTAGACCAAGGGTCCCGGGTTTGGCCACATCAAGTTAGGACGCCAGTCTGCACACCTGCCACCCTCCACCAGCTTCATACTATACCACCCGGGAGATCAGCAAAGCTTTTGGGGGGATGGCAATGGCTCTGGCTAAATCTTTCTCCTCAGGCACAAGGCCAGTCTTTCTGGGGCACCAGTGAAGGGCAGCACCTTGCACAACAAAACCTAAGGATACCTCTAGAACAGATTTAGAGCTTTTAAAGGAGGAACAGATACATACAAAATTTCCATGAAAACAGTGTTATTCCTGCTCCTAAAATATTCTATTATTTCCAAAGTTTTCAATGAATTTAAAATTTCATTCTTACTGACCTGATCTCTTATTCTCTGCTTAATGATATCTTCTAGTTGAAGGGTAGTTTCCTCTGTGATCACGGGTGCTAAAGAAAATATAACATGTACTCATTAAGTAGATATAAACTAGACCAGTGGTTCTCAAGAGAGGCCTGGACCAGCAGTATCAACACCCAGGAAATGTGAATTCTGGGGCCCCACCCAACACTTCCTTGATCATAAAGTGGGGGAAAGGGACTCTTAAGTGTTTTAACTAGTCCTTGTGATACTTCCTCCAGTTTGAGAACCGTAAAACTAGAATATACATGGTAGTAAGTGCTAACACTTTTAACCTGTGTACTTGTTTTCCATTGTCTCTGGCACTGAATAAAATGGACATTCATTTTGACTTAATGGGTATGAGAATTTGAGGAGGACGAGGGTTTCTGGATTGAATTCACAATTTAATCAGTGAGCAATGGCAGCAGACATAAAAGGATCACTAGCAGAAATCTGACTACGGACTATATATAGGCTATCACTGGTATATTAGTAATATCTGGGTGGATTAATGGTACTGTAACTATAATGGAGAATGTCCTAGTTTTTAGAAGATCCGTGTAAAAGTACTTAGGAGCAAAGTGTAATGGAATCGGCAATTTTCAAATGGTTTGGAGGAAAAAAGTGCCCATGTATAATCACATCCATATACAGGGGAAAGAGGAAATACAGCAAAATATTTATAACTGATGAATCCAGTTGAATGGCATATTTATGTTCATTGTATTATTTTTTTTTGACTTTTCTGCATATTTGCAAGTTTTTTAAAATAACAAATTGAGGGAAAAGAAATATTACTCCAAAACTTCCTATGAAATAGAGTAACAGGAACAGCAGGGAAACAATGTTTTGCAGGAGGCAGTGGGTACACGCACCCATGCGGACAGCATGGTCAAAGTGCAGGGTCTCCTCTAGAAGGCTGTTCTCTGGTCGCCTTTGTGCTGTCACTTCTCCTTGAAGCTGCCAGGTTTTTTTTTCCAACAACTCTTTTTCTAAAGATGCAATTTTTTCATTCATCTGAGAGAGAGAGACAAAAACTTATTACACATTTATAAAACAAAATTAGAATTATAGTTGAGTAAAAACAGTATTTTTAAAAGGAAAGCAAGAAATGTATCATTCTTCAGTACAGTCCTGTTTTGTTTTGTACTCTTTTTTATTACGCCAACAGTGACTTCCTATTTCTGTCACCTGAGGTGGGTTAAGGAGCTGTAGGTAACCTCTTCTTCCCACTGATTTGAAGTGCCACGTTTATATTAAATTCCCCTAGAAGCATTTAGGTATATTTCTGGGCTCTCTTGTGGTCAAATGATCTATCTAGTCACAAACCACTTCAATTTTTATTATTAGAGCATTCCCAGATATGCTCTAAAAAAGTAAATTTTTTTGATTAGAATATTAGTATCTGATGGAGTCTGACTCTTTCAACTCCACGCTCACAATCCAAATGCTCTCTGACTTCTAAAAGACAACATCTGTAAGAGTCTTAAAGTACATAAAATGCCAGGCTTCTCAGCTACCTTACTGAATGCTTTTTATTCTTTCTAATGGCATTCCAGTTCATCTGCTCGGTACTTCCACTATCCTCTGCACATATTAATGCTTTCTTTTCAGTTTTTTCTTACCTCATTGTACTGGCTAATATTCTTCAAGAATGTTAAATAATATTGGTAATGGTGATAGTGGAGATTTTGTCTTATTCTTGATTTTAAAGGGATGTTTCTAATATTTCACCAGTAAGCACAACGGCTGCCTTTGGCTAAATATGTTTGTATTTCACTAGGAGTGAAAAAAAATTAGGAATGGTTATCGAATCTTATCAAATGATAACCTGCTTTTTGACATATATGGAACTGACAATACGGGATTTGTCCCTAACCTATTACAACCAAGAATTAAATAGCTATCTTAATCCTGAATCAAGAGAATGAGGCCCCTTGGTTGTGGCAGCATTATTTTTTCATTGTGCTATTTTGGATTTTTGCATCACTATTCATACATGAGACTCTGCATGTGTTTTTTAAAGTTACCTTTGCAGGTCTGGGTATTCTTCACAAGAAAAAAGTTTGGAAGCTTTACTTCATTCTTCTATGTGGGAATCGATTACATTAAATTATCTATTTCTTAAAGGTTTGATATAATTCCCAATAAAATTAAATATGCTTTTCTTTCTTTTTTAGGGGCCTGCATGGAGGGAAGGATACTAACTCAATGACAAATGCCTTCTTTTCTTTTACAGTGCTTTTTCTTTACATTTTTCTCTTCTGGGGATAATCTGACAATCATGGATTTAACTCAGATTTTCTTTAATAATTCTTTTGATATCCTCAGTACATTTGGTTATATGCCTATTATTATTTCTAACTGTGTGATGTAATTTTAAGGTGGTTAAATGATGGAGGCAAATGATTGGAGCCAGACTGTATCCAGTATTTTCAAATGACATTTCATTTGTCTGAAATCATGTCCCAAAGAAATAATTTTTATCAACTTTGGAAGATGTGCTTGAGATGGTATTAATTAAAATGCAGGTTACATGGCATTCACAAAAGCCATCTGCAGAGCACGCCAGAGACAGGCAGTATCCTTAAAAGCAGCTGAAACAAGGACAAGAGGTTTACAGGACAGCTCATTAGGGAAGACATGCCATAGGTACAAAGACACCAAGGACCAAGAAAACAAACAGCTTTTTACACAGATTGAAAGCCGTAAGATGGGAAGCACAGCACTGATTTTTGCAAATAAGCTGCTTTCCATCTAAGCATTTCTATACAGTATGCTTGTAGAGAGTAGCAGCAAGATTTTTGTTTTGTTTTTTAAAGGATAAATAAGCATTCCACCAAGAAAACAGGGTAGATTAGTTAGCAGTCACTGAGTCAATGTTAAGCAATAAATTCCTCAAATTCTTAATTATTACCTTTTCCTGTCTTTTTTCAAAAGAGGATTTAACTTTATCAGAATCTTTCTCTACGTTGAAGATATCTGTAATTTCTGTTTCCTCATCAACTGGCAAAGCAAAGGTTACTTTATGTTGTTTACCATCTTCATTTTCTTCAAGGTCATTATCTTCATCTCTGTAATACCAAAACACTTATGAAAGGGAAATATTCAACTTTTCATTAGGAAAACAAAAAGCAATTTTCCTAGTAAATAAAGTTCTTTTGTACACCTAATGTAACTAAATATTCTAAAGTCATTCAGTTGTTAAGGAACAACTAAAGGGTTTATTTAGATAAAATAGAACAAAAAGTCTCCAACACAGAAAATATTCATCAACTTATAATACAAACATCTCACAAAAACAGTAGGGCATTATTATTAGCACAAAAAACACATCAAAGGTCCTTGTGACAAAGGTTGATCTCTACTACCATTGATGCTTACCTTCATGAGATGATCTCTAACATCTCTTAAAATTCAGATTTTTCTTCTGCTATCTTGACACTATCTGCTCTTAGAGAATCTACTGTATGATAGCAGAGAATCTAACTTCTCACTTAGACAAACATGATTCAAAATACTCACGTTTCAGAACTGCTTTTTTCTGTTTCTTCAGCAATCTCTTCCTCTTCTTCATTTGAACCCAGTTCATCATCGTGAACACTTGCTAGGTCTTCATCACTTTCAACTGGATCAAAGAAATCTTTGTATTTCAGATTTCTGGAACTTTTACCTGACTAAAACAAAAGAACTTTTAAAACCTCTAATTAAGGATAGAAAAACACATTAAACCATGCATATAGGGGTATGCATATTATATATGGTAAACTGGCAACTAATAACACTACCATAAACTGTAAGAATTACTAGACCATAATAAACTGAATAAAGTATAGATTCATCTATAACTGATTAAGATGTAACATTCCTATTTCTAAATCTTCTAACTACAATTATTTCCCAAATACCCATGCCTAAAGAAAGTATACAATACCTTCCTTTCACCATTTTTGGTGCATAGTGAAAATATGTTTGAAAAGAGAAAATTCTGAATATGTCTAACATGTATGATTATAGTTCTTAAGCTACAAGTGTTTTATGATAGGGAAATGATGGATTTGGTTTAATTTTTAAAACTAATATTTATGTTCTGGTGAGTTTTGAGGTATTTTAAACCTCTTCTGGACAAAGAGAACAAAATCGAAATTTTAGGAAGTATCTAGTATTCTGTTTCCTCTCCCAAAACTTTACCTTAAGTTTTTGACTTTCAAAGAGTCCTTCCTCATCTTCATCAGAATTAACATCTTCAAAAAAATCAATATCTTCTTCCTCATCATCATCTTTTTGTTCTTCCTTTTCTATGTTTTCTAAAAAGGTCTCCATTTCAGATAGTTTGAAGAATTTATCATCTACTATGGACTTTTCTCTTGGTTTCCCAGGCACTTTGCTTTGCACCTTGCTCTGCTGTTCCAACTTGCTGATATCAAAGTCAAGATCAGAATCCTCATCACTGAAAACCGGGCTTCTCCTCAGACCGAATTTGTCTGAGCTTTTAGCTCTCTCATCCCCTTTGGGACCACTAACACTCCGGTGCGGTACTTCCTCCTCTTCTAAATCTCGTTCTAGATCCGCTGGGCCATCAGCCTCCGTCTCTGAGCCGTCCTCCTCACCCTCTGGGAGAAGACTGATGTCTTTGTCTTTAACGGTTTCACTAACTGCATTCTGCAAGTACTGTAAAACTGGTTCATTCTGCAGTTCTAGTTGCTGCCAAATCTGCTCATCATCAAATCTGTTTATCACCAATTTTTGTAAAGGACTTCCTTGGACTCTACCATTCTCCAATATTTTAGTAAAGTCATAAAGAACTTTTGTTAAAGAAGTAAAGTTTGATGCCAATCCATCTTGAATCCTATTAAGGGAGCAGGGTGAGGAAATTAAATGAGATTTATAACCATAGGTAATAACTTCTCAACACCCTGAATTAAAAGAAACAAAAAAAAGCCCAGCTCTTGTACAAAATCAAACTTGAATGAAATGTTAATTTTAAATTAGATTCCAGTCCCCAGGAATGCACGCTTGCCGATGAGGCACATTAATATTAAGTGTCAATTAAGTGCAGCTGACACTTAAACATGGGTTTGAACTGCACAAGTCCAGTTACACATGGGCTTTCTCAATAAATACAGAACAGTACTGCAAATAGTTTCACTTCCTTATGATTTTCTGAACATTTTCCTTTTTTTAAGCTTACTTTATTGTAAGAATACAGTATATATAACATATAACATACAAAATGTGTTTTAACTGACTGTTTCTGTTATGGGTAAGGTTGCTGGTCAACAGTAGGCTGTTAATAAAAGTTTCTGGGAGAATGAAAAGTTACATGTAGATATTCAACTGCCCAGGATATCAGCACCCAACTCCCATGTTGCTCAAGGGTCAAATCTACCAATGAATCTGCTAAATGGATGTTAGACAGTTTTTAGGAATTTAGGGGTGAAGTCTAAAGACTGTTACATATTTGCTAGAAATATCTAGTGAGTCTTACAAGGCCTTAAATTATCAACTCTGCTTATTATATGTTACTCCAATCATTCAGGCAACCAAAGGTCAACGCTTGCTTAAGAGTGATCAAAGACTACACTCTGAGGATGAGACTTCTGCATAAAGAGACAGTCTTACCAACATATAAAAACACATATTCCAGGCAAAGCAGCAGGTGGAAATGAGCTTGATGAGTCTGGTGGAGAAAAAGGTCAACATGTCTGGTAAAGTTAGAGAAAGGTGGGAGCTGAATCATGCAAAACTCAGAGGTAAGAGTTTGTCATTTTAAACATAAAGAGAAGCTATCAATAAGTTTTAGCAGAGGAGCAAAATGATATAATTTATGCCTTGGAAAGATGGCCTACAGAGTCAAAGGAACAAAAGGATGATGATTAAGAGACATCCAGGCAAAGGATGAAAAACTGTCCTGGGATTAGGGCAGTAGATATGGGCAGAAGTGGAACTTTGAATATAATTTGGAGACAGAACTGACAGGATTTGCTAATGAATTAGATAGAGAATTCAAAGACAGCCAGACATCAAGCAGTAGCTTAGTTATATGTCTGAACCACTGGAAAGACAGAGGTGCCATTTACCGAGACAGGGAAGGCAGGTGAGGGAGCATGGGGAAAGAATTTCAGGGAGGGCAGAAGACAGGAGAGTAAACAGAGTCAACAGCTTATTTTGAAGGCATTAAACTTAAAATGCTGAGAAAATATGGCTGTAGTTGCCATAAGCCTGGAGCTGGAGAGAGATCGGGTCGGAAATATAAATCTGAGCACCATCATTTCGTGACCGAATTTTAAGTTCTTCAACAAAATACAAAGAGTTTTTGCTAGGAAGAGGGATGAAAAACAGTCTTAATTCTCCTGATACTCGGTCATGGGGGTGGTCAGACTAATACTTTAAAAGAGAAAGATGGGTATGTAAGCACTGAGAGCTCTGGGAGCATAAGGGAGAAAAGAGCAACAGAGCCAGCGTGCGCGTCTGTGCCGAGGCGTAGGGACCGGGTAAGCCTCAACGCAGCCCACGGTGTAACTCAGCTTAGTTTGATTTCAATAGCGCAGGACTGGGAGATCCACACTGTACAGCTTTTAACAATTTAAAAATTCTGATAGGCTAGGGAAGCGAAAAATCTGAAATTTGGGGGAAAGAGATCTAAACTTCCTTTTACCTTCCCTACTTCAGAATTTGCCGGGGGCCTGAAGCCCGCATCCACGTGAGACCTGGGCCGCTCCGCGAGCCCAGGCTCTGCGCACTTACGTGAGGAAACACTCCGGCTGGCCGGTGGCTTTACCAACCTCCCTCAGACAACGGTTCAGGGTCCGTCGGCGCCAGACCCGCGGGGCCATAGCTTGATCAAACTCGGCACACAGGGCCGCATGCAAAGGAAATACAATAACGGGAAACACGTCACAAAGACGCGCCTCGCGCAATCCGAATTCCGGAAACGCAGGTTCCGCGCCGTACAGGTTCCAGGGCTCCTCCCAGCCAGAGCTCAAGGCAGCGCGAGAACTTTCCTTGAGCCGCGCAGCGGGGAAGGGGGAAAACGAAAATTGGCTTTAGTCAGCTCCAGCACCTTTAAACTTTTTCCAAACCTTTTTTGTATTCTTGAGGGGCCCACGGGGGGCGGGGTGACGCGTCCTCCCTTTAAGTTTCTGCCGTAGATGCACTACGTGGCTTCAAAATAACGTACTGTGAAAGTGCTGGCGCTGACCCGGAGCCTACAACAAAGCAGCAACACTCGCCACGCCCCCAGCCACATATGCCACGCCCCTGGCCTGGAGGCCCGCCCCTCGGCGGAACTCCTCTCTCCCACCCCCTGATTTAGCCGGTCGCTTGCAAACATGGCGTCTGTGCTGAAGGTGGCGGCGGCAGCCGTGGCCGCGGCCTTGGCGGCGGCCGGGAAAGCCATAGGTGACAACCCCGCGCCGTCCGGGCTCGCCGCGGGAAGGGGCGCGCGGGACGGGAGGCGGGGGCTGGGTGAGGCCGCGGGGGGCCGGAGCCCTGGGACCGACTGCGCTCTGCGCCGGGAGGCGCGTCAGCCGGGTCCCAGGAACGCCGCAGGCCAGGTGGGGTCTTCCTCCCGGTCCTGGGAGAGGTGCAGTTAGTTGGCGGTGACCCTTTCTGAATATGTGGCTCCAGAAGATGAGGGAACCTGTCCAAAGGGACAGCACGGCCGGGACAGAAGTAAATGAAGTAAATGGCAGAGGGACAGCGACTTTTATTTTTTATCGCGCACCGTAGAGACGTGAGAAACCAGGAAGAGCGAATCCTCTAAAAAACGTAAGCTGAACTCGGGCTTCCAGTATCTTGGTGGGAGCCCTTGAAGGGCAGTTGTGTAAAGAAAACGAAAGGAGTGTCAAAAAAAAAAGTCGTTTTCTTCTCTCCTTCCCTCAACAGAGGACAATTTTTCCCTTAATCTGAAATTACCTGATAGGAAAAAAGTACGAAATGGTAATGTCTCAGAATTATTCCTGAGCATTTGTGATGGAACCCACACCGTAGCACTTTCGGAAGGTGTTCAAAGGGATGAACAAGGTTAGGATTCTGTGCTAGAAAGTGTATTCCACCCATTGAAACTTAAAGTTCTGGTCAGCCTTTGAAGCCCCATCGCAAACTGAACCAGTTCATTATTGATCATGACTACAGTCTTTCTTACCGATAAGTTCTTGTGCATCTGTCATTGCAAATCACCAGGGCTAAGTGAGGCACATACAAAAAGAGCTCCGTAATAGTGTTAGTTGTCTCAGCACTTCATCAGTTTAAAAAAGTAATACGTATACATGAAAAAATACAACGAAAGGCTAAGCACAGCATATTAAATGAATCTCTGATTGACCGACAGTTCTCAAGTTTTGATAATAACGTCCTCCTGGCCCCTCCTCTCTCTTCTTGGTAAAATGCAAGTCAGGATCTTAGCACACATACCATTCATTGTGAGTAGCCCTTTGCAAAAAAAACTAATACAACAAAGTTGTCTCTTATTGTCTCTTAGAAACCCATGCCTTAGAAAATAGGTAACTGCACACAGACCATATGCTACAGATATTAAAAACTGAGAATCAAAAGAATGATAGAAAATTTCCGAGGAATGAGAAAAATAAACATTAATGGTTTAGCAACATCAACTTTGCCACCAGGCAGACCTGGGCTTGAAGCCCAGTTTTGCCACTTAGTGTGACCTTGAGGAAAATTACCTAATCAGGCCTTTTTTCCTTGTCTCTAGTGGGAAAAATTGTTATCTGATCCATACAGTTATTGTTAGAATTAAAATGCCCACTGACCTATTACCATTATTTTATCTTATGGTCCTGAAGACTATTAGGCAGAGCCAGCCTGACACATGATGCACTCCCCACTTCAGAATTATTTCAGTTTGCTTAGGCAGGATTACCTAGTAGTCTTGTTGCATGACTAGCGGTGAAGCAGTGAAACAAACCAGTAGGTGTGTACTGGGAAGGGGAGGTCAGATCAGTAAGATGGTGCACCATGGGATGCTGTTCCACTGAAGATAAACCCCAGCAGTGTGGAGACTGGGGCATATCTGCATCGGGGATAATAACCAGTTTATATGTGTTGAAAGGTGAACTTGTTATGGTTTCCACTTCCATATGATACAAACGAAGTTCCCAAGTTAAAACAAGCAGTATGGGTGAATTAGAGGATTACTATAAATAACTACTTTTAACTGGGAAAAATTCTATATCAGTATTCTTGTATCAAAAAGCAAAAAGTACTATGTTTATAATACCTTTCAGCAGAATTATGCCACCAGGATGTCAATAGTCACTAAATACTGAAATACTGTCAAAGATATTCTAAAATCTGAGCCCACACCATGTATTTTTCCAGAGTGAAAAGAGATTAGTCTCCTTGTCAAAAAAATGGTAAGTAGTGGATTGATGAAATGATGTAGTGAATACGGAAACACCATGTGTGCCAAAACATTGACCAAATACAAGCAATCTCTAGCTACCACTTAAGATTTTCAGCATAAGTACAGTACTATGTATAGAGTAGGTGCAGTTTTTTCCTTTAAAAGCATAAAATGCATTAGAATTGCTTACATTTAGAAGCAAGTTATTGATGTAAACTTTCTAAAAGTGCCAATAATGATAATCCTTGGAATTTATTATGTGCTTTATGCCAGGCACTTTTCTAAACCCTTTTCTGTATTATTCATTTTAATCTCATTACAGCCTTATAAAGTAGGTATTATCTTCCTCTTTGAGAAAACAAAGGCACAGAGAGAATGAGTAACTAGCCCAAGTTACACAACTAATGGTAGGATCAAGACATGAACCGGGGTAGCCTAACACCAGAGCCCCACATTCTTTATGATAGGGTCCTTCGTCCATTTTTAATTCGGTTAGTGTTGAGACACATGAACTCTTTATATATTTTGAATGTTAACCCCTTATCAGGTAAACCATTTACAAATACATTCTTCCATACTGCAGGTTGCTTTTTTGTTCTGCTGATGATGTCCTTTGCCCTACAGAAGCTTTTTAGTTTGAAGTAGTCCCACTTGTTCATTTTTTATTTTGTTTCATTTACACGAGGAGATGTATCCAGGAAAAAGTTGCTCATACTTATGTTCAAGAGATATTTGCCTATGTTTTCTTCTAAGAGTTTTATGGTTTCATGTCTTATATTCAGGTCTTTGATCCTTTTGAGTTCACTTTTGTGTAGAGTTAGGCAGTAGTCCAGTTTCACTCTTACATGTAGCTGTCCAGTCTTCCCAACATCGGTTACTGAAGAGGCATTCTTTCCCCTATTGTATATTCATGGCTCCTTTATCATACGTTAATTGACCATATATGTGTAGGTTCATATATAGGCTCTCTGTTCTGTAGCACTAATCTATGGGTCTGTTCTTGTGCCAATACTGTACTGTTGATTACTGTCACTTTGAAGTTTAGCCTTGAAGTCAGGGAGCATAACACCCCCAGCTTTGTTCTTCTTTCTCAAGACTTCTTTGGCTATTCAGGGTCTTTTGTGGTTCCATATGAATTGAAGAGGAATTTTTATATGTGTATTTTTAGAAATACTTTTATTCAATAGTTTGGGGGAAAAGTTAAAGGGAAGAGAATAAGACTTTCAAAAAGTCACATATTTATTGCAAGAACTGAATACTAATAAAGATACCTATTTTCTAAGTTATACATACATCTTAATATAAGGAAGACTAAAATGAAAATCGTATATTCCAAGACAGCTTTGATTTATCCTGCTATTTTAGATGCTTAAACTTTAAATGATACCACTTTTCCTTTTATTGTGGCTAAATACACATAATTTATGTATGTTTACCATTTTAACTATATTTAGGTTTAGAGTTGAGTGGCATTCATATCACACAACCATCACCATGATCTATCTCCAGAACTTTTTCATCACCCCAAACCAAACCTCTTTACCCATTCAAGAGTAACTCCTTTATTCCCTTTCCTTACCCCCTGATAACCACTATTCTACTTTCTCTGTAAGCATTTGACTAGGTACCTCATGTAGGTGGAATTATACAATATTTGTGACTGGCTTGTTTCACTAAGCATAGATTCAAGGTTCATCCATGTACTATGTGTCAGAATTTTATTCCTTTTTAAGGTTGAATAATAGTCCATTGTATGTGTGTACCACATTTTGTTTATCTTTTCATCTGTGGATGGACACGGGTTATTTTCATCTTCTGTTCATGATTGTGAGGAGAGATTTACTTTTATTATGGGTCATATGTAAGTGGGTAACAGAAACTTGGTCTGTTTACTGACTGTGTTAAGTAAAATATTATTCCTGCCATAGTTTCAAACAGTCTGAAAGTCTGTGTATGATGCTGTGAAGTCTACTTGTTGAATGCTAAAAATGTATGGCTTCTTATCAAACTAATTTGAAGCCGCTTCTGGCAAATAGCTTTCTAAGTATGTCTCCTTAAACCAGAAGTGCAAAAATTCAGACTGAAAAACTTACTACATGGTCTAAAATTAGATTATGTGAAGTTCGCTTGACTTTGCAAATATATAAAAAACCACTGAACCGTACACTTCAAACAGGCAAACTTTATAAGATGTGAATTATATCTTAATAAAGGTATTAGGAAAATCTAATTACAAGTGATTATTTGCAATTTTGTGACACATTTGTTCAAATTTAACATGTAATTTCTTTAAGTGGTAAGTACCCTTAATGCATCTGAGTATTGACCCTTGCAGCTAAACCTTTACTTCTTTGGAGACAATGTTTGGAAAGCCTTATCTGAAGTAAGTGCAATCTGAATGGAAGGAAATGCAGTGTTATTTTTAAATCAAGGCACTAAGTAGTATTTAGTGAGAACCAATATTGAAGGAAAGGCTGGAATTAAAATTAACATGCACATCAGATTTGGTAACCTGTCTATTTCTTGTACATCAGATTCCTGACATGTGAAAGTCATTTGTTTCTTAAATCTATAGATATTCATCTTTATAATCCTATTGTGTTTTTTTAAATACTTCTGTTTTCAAGTATCTGATATATTTATACATTATAATTTATTCTTGCAAAATAACCCTTTTTGGAAT